ATTGGTTTTCCTCTCTTCAGCAGGAAATTAATCATCATCGTTGTCGCCAATGTCATCACGACATCTACACTTAAGTATGGAACTCCTAGTTTCTGCGTCGATCCGCTATATCACCCTCACCATGCACTGTTGTCGAAGTCAAGTGAAAACATGTCTAACTCAAGTGAAAAACACTGTAAGTATACTTTGGCATATGTTTAAGAGAAAAAAAAGAAGCTTTCTCCTGAGCATTGCCTCTGAAACATCAAACTATGCTATTATATAAAAGCCTCTGAGTTACCAAATAAACTCACTCTAGAGCTCATGGTGTGACCCAAAACTCACTCCTCAACAGGTTAATATTCATCAATTGGCAATAGGCCTGCAGGGTAAGGCACAACTGTCATAATGAAAAAAATTTTGGACTACTGTGTAGACCTAGAACAGCTACAGTTTCCCTGACCTATTATTATATGAAGAAATAATGTTAGTAATAGCATGGTAAAAGTCACTTAACCCTTTAAGATTTGGATTTAAAAAATATAATTTATGTAAAGGCAAATTTTCCTCATTCATCTGTCAGCAATGAAACTTCATTGACCACAAAAAAATAATTTCCAAAAAAGGTCACTAGGACTCAGGAGTACCACCAGACCTTATACCAGAATAGCCCCACAAAATATGCACACAAAAAGGCAGGACTCCTGAGTCCTGCCAGGCTTGAAAGGGTTAAAGGCTGTTAAATGCAAGTAATTTGTATGAGAAATTTGAACTGCATAGAATAATTTTTAGATTTTGTTTTTAAAAGAAAGTTGAAGGTGTGGGCTAACTGGTAGCTTCAGCATCTCTGGAAGATTTTATATTATGTTTGAGATATCTGTATGTGTCAAGTAGGCCTGCTTTACAACATACAAGAGGACATAAGTCCTTGTTGTAAGATGAGGGTCCACTTACTCCAGGTTACACTACTTCAAATTTTGAATCCATCCAACATGCATAATGTAGTCAATCTAGCCAAAATGTCCATACTTAATTTTAAAAAGTGTACAGAGAATCAGGAATGGCACAAAGTAGATCCCAAATTGTATTTAGTCAATATCTTTTCACTTATCAGATGCTTCATCTATAATTGTTTCCTTGGTGTCAACATTGTTATTCTCATGATTCTTCAGAGCCTAGCATTATGTCAGAATAGAGTAACATATTTGTAGTACTGGGTATTTTCTTGTTCTCCCCCCATTAGATACTCTATACATGAGTCTGTTTGTATGTGTGTCTGTAGACCACATCAGAAATGTGCCATGAATTGTGGCCTTCACCATAGACCAACATGAGCAAGATGGCATGCCAACTCTTAAGGAAAGAAACTGGCACTCCAGGAAGAAGTTTGTTCAGGATGAGGTGTTCCAAGGGGATACTGAGTGTGCTCATACTGGGGTTCAGCAGCATGTCTATGTTTCAAGATTTTGGAGTTTGTTTTCCCCAAGTATCTTGCATTCAGATTGGAGAGGATTTGAAAAACCTGGATCATGAGCTAGAAGCAGGGAGAAGTATTCGGTCAAAGAGTGATACTGATGGCCTGGAACAACTTGAAGAGCATTTTGTTGCAAAAGTTGGTACAGATGAGGAGGAAGCCCAAAAAATTGGCAATGTCTATTTGAAAGATATTGCACAAGTTTTATCATCACATTTTCGTCGGATGACTAATGACGAACTTGGAGTTACCCTTCTACAGGTAAGCTTTCAAATTGAAAGTCTATCAGTCAAGTTTGCAACCAAGCACCCAGGATGCAACCATTTTGCTGCTTCCATAGACCTCCATAGCGTGTAAGCCTTATTACCAAAGTTCAATACATACCTTAGCTTGTTGGTCTTGACCATGTCTGATTTGTTATGATTTCTTTTTCTTCTTCTCAGGGCAGCAAGTAGAATACCAAGATACATCTATGCTCTTAAACAAGCTGATTGATTGATGAAAGCCCTTTATAATAACATTCAGTCTTGTATGAAGGAGGGCACAGATATACAACAGTGCACAAAAACTAACACCCTTTAGCACCTTTTAATGAGTAATGCAACAAATTATGTGATTGTGATATTCTATACATATAAATCATGTTTAAATTCCCCATTTGACTACTGAATTTGAAATTGTTCTGATGACAAATTTGGCTGTGCAAGGTGTTGTACAAAATCCTTCAAAGTGAGAACTGACAACTAATCAGACGCTTTGTCCCATATCCTTGTAATGCCCGGAGCTGGGCAAAATATGAGTGATTGAGTATTTAAATACAAAATACAAAATACAAATGCCCATGAAAAAATGTATTGTGATAGAAAATTTAAATACAGCACAATAATATTATTTCAAATATGAAATATGTACTTTAAAGTACAATTAAAATTCAAAATGTTAAAATTTTCAAGTTTACATTGTGCCTTTCAGATTTTGTCCAAAATCAGGAACCTTTCAGTTCTGACCATTGGCCTTCACTGCACATAGCCTGAGCATGGCATTCTTACTGTTTTCCTTTCTGAATCCCAGACTGCTCCCCCTTATACCATTCATAATCCTTAATGAGATCTGAATGTAGTCACTGAAAGCAAAGAACATAAATATTAACTTGCATTGGCAAGATTTGGACTTGCACAAGGCAAGGTCGAAAGATGGCTAATATATCACTAATCAAAATCCCTTCTTGAGCCGAGGACAAAGTTAGCAATATTTGCACCAGGATATTTGAACACAGTCAACCTTCAAATTTATGAAAAAATTGGATGCTACAGCTAGAGTTCCACTGATCACTTTCTCAATAGAACATGCTGCACATTTGACCCTGACTCACACCCCTCTCATTCAACAATACTGAAGAACTTCCCATCCAATAAAGAAGGCAAGCCTTCTGAGGTAGCCCTGTTTGAAGTTGCACTGAGCTAATTAAAAAGTATTTTATATTTGTTAAATGTATTTAAAAACTCATTTTTTGCAGAGACTGTATTTCAAATACAAAATACCTGAAATTTATTGAAGTACATATTTTAAATATATTACTTTAAATAATACCCACCTCTGGTAATGCCTCTAACTTTTAACCAACCACACTTGTCTTTATTGGGGTTTGGTGTACTTGACTCCAATGCATGTATACTTCATCATTCATTGAAACCTGGGCCCCACTCCAACATCTTTACAGCTCCATATTAAAATAATGGGCACCAAAGGACATCCTTGGTGGTGACATTCACATAGTTCAAGAAATACTCTGTTTGATGGTCATGAGTATTGCTAACCAGATGATGAAAGACTTCTCAAATGTGCAGCTTGAGCTTGCTAATGCTTTTACCCAAAGATTACAACTGCAATGAAATTGTATAACTTATTGGATATCACCACGGATTTGAAAACTGGAAATTTTTACCATATGCAGTGGAGAGCTGATTAGAGCATTTGGAAATGGAGATCTATTTGCCACTGGTGGGGGTGAGACCTTGCCTAATTTTATGCTAGAACAGGATTGCTTGTTGATACTGTAGATGCTAGCCTGTTTTGTTGCCTTAGACCCTAGAACTCATTGTAGGCCTGGATATTACTTGTAGTCAATGAGATGAGATTAAATGCAGTTTTTGGGAAGTAGTTCTTGGGATCCATTGTTAGATGATAGTTATTAGCTTTTCAATCAGCAGAATGTAGTTTGTTGAGATATTGGATATTGGCAGAATCAGTGATAGTAATAAAAAAAAGCTATTTTGGAGAGTTTTAGAAGTTTTCTGCTGTTTAAAGATATCAAATTGTAATGCCTGCTCTTAATGCCACATATCATTCAGATAATTTTTTCTGTGGAACTACTGAAGGTCACAGATGGTTTTCATGTGTCAATCACTACTATGTGATGAAACAGAATGTACTAGAATTAATTATTGTAGAGTACATATTCCTCATTATTCTTTTACTACTCCTTAAGGAACTTACTGGTAGGTACTGATCTATACAAAGGGTGCAATCAATCCAGTGTGCTCCAAAAAGGGCAAATCTTCCCATAGAATTACAGGCAGATTTTTATTTTATCTCTCTCACTGGAGCTTTCTTTGTGATTTTTAACTCCTCTCACTTCACAATAGATATTCTTTCATCTATGGAGAGAATTGCATACCTCGAGAGTTTTTCAAAGAAAGCATGTAGTGATGTACTGAGGATATTGTTTAATTATTATGCCTCTTAAAATACTAGGTTGAGGAAAAAGTTTGTGCGCCGTTTGCGACGTTGAAGGTGAAGGTACGGTGCCACCGTACCTTCACCTTCAACGTCGCAAACGGCGCACGAACTTTTTCCTCAACCTAATAGCATCCCCTTTGATAATCACATTAGTGAAAACTTGTTATCACAGTGAGGAGTAGAATAGGCCTGCAAAGCACTCAGTGCTGCAAAATTGCTTGAGAAGGAGATACAAAACAGGTAACCACAGTTCTTGTCTAGAAAATTTTAATGCAAATTTCCAGTATAATGTGTACCAGGGAAAGAGCAACAGAATCTCTTCCCTACTTTTCCCATCTTATTGAATCATTTATTGAAAGGGTAGCTGAGGTTGAAAGCAAATGTATGAAGGAATGTATAATCTTGATGTTTCTATTTTTTCTGTAGTCCAGTATTGATTCGGCTCCTGTTTTTGAGGAAGATGATGTGGACATCAACAAGATTCTTAAACAGGTAGAGTAGTACCCATTAAAGAGACATTGTCCTTCAGTTCTATAAATTGATTGTTTACATCCTTATGTCATTAGGTTGGAGATCGTTTGGAACAGAAGTTGTCATCTTACATGACTATTATAGCAAGCAATAAGATTTCTGTGGAGCAGCTGCATTCAAGACATTTTCTCAACACAAGAGGGACATTGATGCCTTGCTGCTTGATTCCAGATCACATGCTACAGTGAGACAATATACTAGTCATTTGAGAGCCTTTCATGTTGCCCCAGATGGAAAGTCTGGATTTTGCTTCATTATTTGTTCAAGCTTTGTGAAGCGCTTTGGTGCAAGAGTGAGCCAAGACACAGTGTGCCACATTGTTCCTTCTGGTCTACAACCTCAGATGGTCATACCTGCTGAAAATCTCACAAGTGGTACTCAAATCCCAGCTTATCTCTCATTCCTTAATAATCAACTATAAACCCGACCACTGTGGGTCCCGGAATATTCTGTGTGTCAGACTGATTTCACAGAATGTGTGTCCCAATCAATGCAGCAGGAGTAGGGTTAAAGAGCCTGCCTCTGCTCATGTGGGGAAATTCAGAACCAGGTGGTTGCTGACTGACTTGGATTTGACTAAGGTACATAGTTTCACTTACAGAGAGAGTTGAAAATCTCTACTTATCTGCCATCAAAATGTGTAACCTTTGCAGATAAAAGTTCAAGGTCATAAAGCAACAACCAGCTTCAGTGGAATCATTTCCATGCTGACGAACATGAAGATCCAATAAGATTAATAATGTGATGCCTGACTGTTTAGCTGCTACTATTATTTTCTCTTCAAGCTCATATGCTTTTTTTTTTTCAGGTGTGCCATACTTTTCTAACTTACCTTACTATGTAAGTGGTACAATGAACTGGTTTCTGTTATCCTGGAAAGTCTTCAATGTGTCTTCTGCCAAGTGTGGGAAACTTCCACAGTTGAGTTGACTATTTGTAGCAATTAAAAGGTTAAGGTACATTATGCAGGAGCCTCTGAAACTTTTTGGGCAAATGGACCTTGATGTGTTTGACTCAGCATTGGCAAAAAAAAAATTTCTATTTATGTATCACCCAAATGAAGTACTTCATAACACCTTGCACCATTAAGATCCAGCTGTCATATTTCCACAGTTTTAGTCCTTTCCTTTAAAAGTAAAACAAGTCCTAAAACATTTTTAGATGTTCCAAGCCAAGGGCATGGGAGGTATAGGTGGTAAGCAAATATCCCAACTTTTGCACTTCTATTTTAACTGCTAAAAGCTTAGCTGAAATGACATTGTGGCATGCACATATATTGACTATTGAAACTCCCAATTGTAGAATGAGGTTTGTTTTGGGTTCACTCCAGCTCATTTTGATGGTTCTATCATCTTAATTTTTTTTTTTTTTCATCAGAGGTACCTGTTAAGTCTTAAGTCTTAAAATGTGGCTTTCCTCTAATACTTATTATTCAATATATGAATAATAATATTTTAGGGCAGGGCCTGATTTGGTAAAAACAGCCAATCTTTGATCTGCCATAACTTGTAAAGGTATTGACCAATCTTGGTGGACAAGGTTATTTTTTTGGAAAAAGCAATTATTTTATGTTAAGAAATTTGTTTTCATGGATATTTTTTATGCACTTCTCATCCCCCACATGATGACATTTTTAGTATAAAAATTTATCAGCTGAGAATACCTATAACTCCTCTTTTCATTCAAGAATGCCAGTGAACTTCATATGGAATATTCAGGCTTGAAAAACCTTGGAGATAGCCAATTTTAAATCATCCTCTTTGTGGACCTAAGGTGGAAGCTACTAAATTTTGACATTTTCAAAATATCAGTTATTGAGTGGTCACTTATCTCAGGTCTACAAAAAAGTGACAGCTTAAAGTGAGTTTATATCTAGATATGCTTTAGCCTATTTCCCCTACAAACATGTGTACCATTTATGGGTATCAACTCCCTTTGCTCCCTTTATGCTGCTCAGAAAATTCGATAACTGCATGTTGATTTCTCTGGTGAAACAGCCATCTGAATTTGCCAGAGATGTATTTATAAGGAATTTGTGAAATATTGGAGGAAAAAAGGGGGTGAGTGTAATAGATTTGGGTGGGTGTGATTAAGAAATGAATGTTTCATTTTTGAGTGGAAATGCTCTTCTACAGCAGACATAAATAAGTAATTTAGTGCATGTCATCATTACACTTTTTGCTTCAAATCCTGATGTTTTTTATTCAGTCACTTTGAAAACTGTATGAGTTCAAACTTTTTGGACTGAAAGGTTATTGTGATTACACTCTCCCTTGTAAGAGGTAAATCTGATGTTGGTCATGAACAGAGTAACCATGATCACCAGGAAAATGATGCTAACCCTGTCATCCAACCAAAACAGTCAGCATAATAATTTTGTTTGTGTTTTCTCTTCTCATTAGCATTTCTCTTCATGATCCTTTTCTCAGTTACAGGGTAGGTATGATATTGAACAAGGAATATTTGACTATGAGGCAAATGATGATGAAGGCATATGATGTAAATGTAGGGGTGAATGTACATTTTAAACTTGTAAGCATTTTTTTTATTGTTCTGCCAGCGTTTTTCTTGTGATTGCATTTAACACTTCCTGCTCTTTCAATGGACACAGTATGGGATATGGGAAATAGTTTTGAAACAAATGCTATAGGCATTGGTTTGTTATGGAATGGCATCTCCACCCCTTGCAGCCCAGTCCCTGGCTCCTTATATATGTACTGGGTAGATGAGATTTTGAACTTTGCAAACTTGAGTGAAGCCTTATTTGAATGATTCAAATATGTTTCCATACCATAGATTCTGGATCTGTGTCAGAAGTAGCTTCTGACATTAAGCTGATTGGTGTCATCATTTGGTATGAACTATTCTCAATGTTGTGCAGCAAGTTATCCAGCTAATATTCATATTATAGATCAAGAACTCCTGCCTCTTTGGAGAAGACCAATTTGTTAGAAGAATCTGTTAATGTGAAAATGTTGCCAATCACATGAAGTACAGAGGATGGAGGAATCATCTTCATATGCTGGAGATACAGAGTTAAAAATCATTCAGAACTTTCATCAGATACAATTCTGAAGATGAGGCTCCACCAGTGTAAGAAATATATATTTTTTTCCCATGAACCTGAGGCGACAAATTGGAATTTCCCGGGAAGGATAGGCAAGCGGACTAAGTGTGCCGCCCACCTGCGCGTCTCCGTTCTCGCGAACCTCGTTTGCAGGTTCGCAAGGGTTTTCCTAGCCTGGGCCCCACTGTTGCTTGTTTCTGGCTATTGGCCTGGTTTTTCCATTGTAGAAGTTGTCCTAGGCTGTGCATCCCCTGTTTTCTTCATTATTGCTTTCACTGCAGATGGTTTGAAATGTTCTTCCTCAAGGGAATGTTACTCACCAGTTTTTCCTAATCTTACTTCATATAGTGCAAATGCTCTCCCTAGATGTTATCATGGCATCGTGCTCTTTCTTGATGAAAAGTGAAAGTTTTACTCTTGCTATTAATGCTTATGTAAACATAGAAACCATTTTAATGACATAACCGTACCCTTTTAAAGGCATTGTTAAAAAGAAAAAACAACAGCTTGGTTAAAATTTCCAAAACTTTGAAGCAAACACTATTTCCAGCTTTTGTTGCTTTTCATCATCCTTGTATAATGTTTAGCATGTGCACCATGCCACTTCAGGTAGGCTTCATGATTCTGATCAGAATTTTAGTGCTAAGTTTACCAATTTTTGCTTACTGCCTAACTTGCCAAGCCCATAGCAAAGGCAGGTGAAAATCCAGAAGTGCTGAGTGACTCATTTTATAGGTAATATGATTGACATGAATAAGTGAAGCCTTTTGACCAATGTGAAGATGAGCATTAAGATTTGAGTTGAAACACTCTCAGTGGCTTGTACATGGTATGCCTTGACTCGTGCACTGCTTAAGGGAATTTTTTATTTTTGCGCTGTAATGGAGTGGTCTTATGTTATCATTCTTTCAGTTTGCTTACTTATCTTCAGTGTTGCTATCATATTTTGCAAATCTTCATTTTTGACAGTTCAAATTAGTAAATAGTGTGCAGTCACACACTTTGATCATTGGCACAACAGGGATGTTTAAATCTCTCTTGAGTGGAACAAAAGCTGAACATTTTTATTCAATGTCAGATATCCCCAACAATCATGTTTTGCTCTCCTTTCTTATAGGCAAGCTCTTAGGAACAGGCTCAATTAGAATCCTTTGAAAATTTTAGCTTTACATCATGAGGAAATTTCCTCTGTCTTTTATTTGCAGCTTTTGCACAGCATGTAGATCAACATGCCAGCATCAAATGGCAGTACTTCATCTCTGCTCAAGGAGTGCACACAGAATTCCCTGCTCACAGAATGCAGGTTGGACCATCGTGCATTTCTCAAGATGAAGCACGTCATAGGTGAGGCATTGTATAGCCATTTTTTTCCTAGCTTCCTTTAATCTATGGGGATACCCAATGCCCTAGACACACACACATCCACAAGTTACACATGTTGAGTCTTGCCACCCAAGGATTTTTTTCTGGAATTCAGCAGATCAGACAACCCCCTATCATGATGAAGCAGGGAAAGCATCAGGTATCAAAACCTAACTCAGTCTGAATGAATATTGGACAATCAGGCCCATGAGCTGGATGGTCCAGCCATCATGTTAACTGTCATCTGTATTGCCCTCCACATCTTAGATCAAGTCATGGGACCAGGAATAATCATATATAAGACTTACTATCCATTGTTGGAATTCAATTACCTCTGGTCATATAACAAATGAAGGATGGAGAGGGTTGAAGCACTAAAAATGTTTCAAAGTCTGTCACTAATGCCACCCTGATCTGTTGGGAACTTTTTGGGTTTGGTAGCAATGTTCTGCAATAAGTACTTAATATGATGTACTTTGTATTCACAATCATGGTGTCATAGATGCTTGGGGTATCTGTAATCATGCTAGAAATTCCTGGATGTAGATTTATTTATCTCTTAACATCCTTCAAGGGTTCAGGAAATACAAAGTTTAAAAATGTGAGTATAATTGCTTTCAATTTCTCTTTTTCAGGTTGCAATTTGAAGGTCAATACCTTTGTATAGATTTCTTTGACATGGTCATTGGTTGGTATGAAATGTGATTTTCACAACTCTCCAAAGCCTAAGCTTTGGAGAGTTGTGAAAATTTTTACTTAGGTAAAAATTTTCTAAAGTTGTTATGTTGATTCAGCTGGGAGCACAAGCCTATACTAAGTAGTGTACAAGAGTGGGTGGAGGTGAAGCTATATGGTCTTAGCACTCTGAGTATAGGCAAATGGGTTCTTGCATGTCAGGAGTTGCTTGATTTGGAATAATCATATGCGAAAGATCAGCTGGATTCAGGTGCAGCTTTTAACGAGTGACATTGCTAGCCAGGGGTGAGAAAACTAATCTATGTGGAAAATGATGAGTCAGATGGATTGTAAATTTATTGTGGCTGAAGGCCACATTGATGTTGAGAACTTATGAGCAGAAGACAAATAGTGGAGCAGGATGGAAGTGGGATACTTTCATGAGACAGGCTATGGCAAAAAAGGGCCTCTGCTGCATCCACATACAGAGGATGAGAAAAAAAAAGACCATAAATTTTAAACCAATATACAGGGTGGCGCAAAAGTCGTGCACCATATGGGATTTCACTGTTGCACAACATTAGCTCTTCTTTCTTTCTTTGCAGGTAACTGATGGCTGCAAAATTAATAAAAGACAAGAATGTGGAGTTTAGATATGTTCAAACATTACATGTACAGTGAATTGAAGTGTTTTCAAGTTAATGGCAAATGATTCGAACATTTACTTACCTGTTTACCCTATGGTGTGTGACTTTTGCGCCACCCTGTATATCTGCTTTCCCTGGAGCTGTTTTCATGAAATTTGTTCTGAACATAATTATGCATGTAGTAGGCACTGCTCATTATGATCATGTTTATGCAAGGAAATTTGATAACATTAAGTGGCTGATAATAATATGCGGAAGCATTTTGGTGGTTGAATTTGTTCTTTGTTTTTGAGATTTTATCACATTATCTAGCTGATAGTAACTAATGATCACAATAAGCAGCATCTCTTGTATTTGCAACTTACTTTAAAAATTTAATCCAAATTGGTTTTTTGAAAGCAAGTCAATGAGCCATTACTCCATGGAAATTAAAATTTTTTAAATGGATAGCTAAGATACCTCAGGATCCTTGTATGAAAGATGCATAAATTCATCACCATGTTCCATGAAGGGTGCCCTTCTGTCCCTGTCCTGCTCTTGCCAAGTAGCATGAGGAAGAGGGATACATCCCTGGTTATTGCTATTTATTTATAAAGAAGCAATTAGACTAGGATATCTGTTGTGTAGATTCACTGTCCATCACACCCAATTTACTGAGGATATCTAAGGGTCAGTTGATGAGTGGAGGGTTAACTCTGGGTCAGAATAGCACAGGGTTAAACTTGGGGCTAAACTGTCTGCAGATTGATGAATGGCGGGCTAAAGAAGGGTTAGACTAAACTAAGGAACAAAGTGGGGACTACATTAACTCCACTCCTAGGGTGGAGCTAAGATGTTTCCTCCGTGATGAGAAGCCTAAATTTATGGGAGGATGACATGCCCTGTTGTAATCACGCTAGTGTGTATACTGGCTGGTATGCAATAACGTATACAACTGATAAAATATATATTTTGTGGAGTATCGAATGATAAGTTTGATGGGTTGGCCATATGTAGAGACATTTTATACCTATATGATAGGGTATCATGATATGTATAAAAATAGCTTCAATCTATTATGATCCAGGACTTTTTTATTATGCTTATAACGAGCGACCAGGGTGGATTGCAGTGAATTTTGCTAAACCAATTATAATGTGAATCGTCACAACATGTGTCAAGCATAGTTACTCTGGGATAAATTAAATCCCGTAGAGTTTTTCGAATCAAGCCACGGCAATCAGAATTCAAACACTTGTCTGGTAAATGAGGTCAGATTAGTAACAATAAATCATCACACAACACTATGGTCAATCATGTGAGCAGATACACATGGCATTGTTCCTGGGTGCAAGATGATGGATAGGAGGTTGCCATCAGAAAAATTCATGAATACCTATGTATTTTATGTATGGTTATGTATTTTATACCTATCAAAATAGGTCTCACAGCAGATACCTATAAATTGTTCTTGCATATGGAACCTAACAAATTATAGACCTATCACCTGATACCTGCCATGATAGCTACCATGTGATTGGCCATCAAGTGATAAGTTCTTGCTTATGGACCACTGTCAGGACTTCCTTTGTGGACTTCTTTGAACTGAGATTACAGGAGATTTGCTAGTGCTAAGTCTTGAACATCGGAAATCGTTCCAATCCTTATACTCCATACACCATACGATAATGAGGAATTTTCAGTGCTTTTGCTTGTCCAAGCAGACTCTCCTGCATTTACAGTGTTTTTCACTTGAATTCGACACTCCTGCATGAGGACCGTCCTATGCACATGTGTCTGAGTCAAGGGAAAAATTGTCTGACTCAAGCAAAAACCACTGTACTACAGCATATGCAACTCCAAGAACCCAAGAAGCATCAATGGGACTGCCTTACGCCAATGGATGAATCAATCCATCAATGAGGGAAGCAGCTGTTTGTCCCACTAAATGAAGTTCTCACACTTTGACTGAATTGTAAATTTAGATGGGCCAGCGGAATGCATTACTAACACCGTTCAAGATTCAGTAGCATGAAGGTGTCTGATCCAAATGAACTGCAACTGAGGAGAGGCCTGACTTGCAAAACTGGAATGCGCATGCGCAGTGGGACTGAGGATCAGGATCCCTGGAGAACAGGGTTGTGAGATTGCTGGGGAGAAGTGAGAAAGTGGGGTTTGCTAACCCTGACATTATCTTCGATTCATCAGCTGACACAGGAGGATCAGTTTAGCCCTCCATTCATCAACTGACCCTATGGAATATGCCTTTGCACCATCATGATAGCCAAGGATTATAACAGTGTTTAGTCCCTCTATGCATTGGATACCTCAGTGGAATGTTTCTGAACAGTTATAGCTTCAGGACCTGCTTTTGGATAAGACTACTGGCTGGAGGTTTCCTGAAAGGCAAAATGTGCTGTGATGGCACATTTAATCTGGCACCTCAAAGTATGGAATCATTCAGAAGGTTGCTAGTATTCCCCTACCATGCTTTTGGTAGCTGTTGGGCACTTGGAATGTGTAGGAGTACATGAAGTTGAAGGTGGATTCTTTAACCCTTTGACAAGTTTGCTCATATATATACGGCCAGACATCCTCCTGCCCTCCATGTATTCACTACGGGTGATCTTCTAGGCATTAAAAAAACCCACTCCTCAAGGGGTTAAACACCTTCTTTGACTTTACACTCTTTCTTCAAATTGAAATCAGTGGCATAATGCCACTTTATACACATTTTTAACTCAGTGCCATGTATCCAAATATGTCAAGAAATTCCATATTGTCTTGAGTTTTAATCTCAAATTTCATGACAATCCATCTTGCCATTCTGGAAATTTACTGTTTTCATTTAGTGCAGTTACTTTTGTAAACTCCCTATATATCAGCCAATCTACTGTATCTAGTTTAATACTGGTACAGCTCAATACTTATTTCACCTGATTCTTGTTATTTAGTCAGCAAAGAAAGGCTCAGGAGGCTTCTCTCATCTTAACCTTATCTTATAATTCTTCATTTTTGTTAGACAATTCCTTTAGATCTAACAGTGCGAGTGGGCTAAGGGGAATTAGAGTAATGTAACACTTTTGCTGTGGCTGATAAAAATTGGCATTATCATTTTCAAGGGCCTCTTGGGAGCCATCAGTGTATCACAAAGTGAAATCTATCACTGGTCACACATCCTCACAGACTCTGACACAATGGATCATCATCATCATGAGAGATAGGCCAATTGATTATGTAATTTTGAGTGTAGTTGTTAAATGTTTTATGACAAAGTAAAAATAAAGCACGTAGGTCTTGGTTGATTCAACAGACTTTATCTATTGTTTGTATATAGGAAAAAAGCCTTTGATCATTCTTGTTTCACGTAAGATGAGTTCATAATGTTATGTTTTTCATTCACAGATTTCAAGATTCTGCCCTGATATGGTTAAATATGAATTGATTATAGGGGAAATGAAACTTAATAAAACAATAACTCATACATGGCAATAAATCCTTACTGGTGCAATCAATTCTCAAAATGGGAAAATAGAGCCTGAGTCATTAGGTCCCAAATAGTGAAAGGGAGACCCAATAAGTGGTGTTAATGTGTTACTTTCTTAATGATATTCCTTATTTTCACTCAAGCTAAAAACTGAACATTTGGAAACTCACACAGTTGAAATATTATACCTTTAAATTCCCCAGTATGAGACAAACTTGCATCACACTTGATGTGAGATTGACTTCTGTCCTTGCTGTTTGTCTTGACCTTATCCTGGGATCAGTTTCACACAATACTGAATTTGATTCATGTTGAGGTTGTTGTCTACTCTGGTCTGGCATTGCAGTGTCAGGTTTCAAAACTCACAGGAGCTCAAGAGTTCAAGACACCAAGATACCAGTTTGGACACCAATGCACCAGAGGAACCTCCACCTTTTGGGCTCCCACGATTTTCATACCCTAAGTGTGCTAACATGTGCTGTCATTAGATGTGCAATGGCAAAGTCATTATGATTCCTGCTAATTACAGGTCTGTATTCATTTCTACAATGGCAAATACTCCCAAGAAGACAGTGCTGATTATTGATGGAGCATCTGGTCACATTCCAGAGATCTCCAGGGCTGTGGAAACCATTGGTGAGGGAAACTTAAGATCTGCCACCTTAAGAAGTAGTCAGCAACAAGGGAATAATGTTAAACATCAATGTTCCAATACTTTTTCTCCCCTCCCCCTTGGCAGGGAAATATTTCATATCCCTGCTCTCTGAGAAGGATAAAATTGGAGTTGTTTGGATGGGGCCAGAAGAACAAGATTTTATCCATGAATGCTTGAGTGAAGCCAATACAAGAACAAAAGAAGCCCTCTTGCATTTCTTTGAGCCCTTAAAAGTTGGTCAGTTTAACTTTTTTTCATTCATGGCACAAGCAGATTTTCTTATATACAGGGTGGCCCCAAAAAAATCATACCAACTTCGATCAGCAATAACTTTTGAAACAAATTAACCTTTTTTGTTTTTGAAATGGAAATTGAAAGGTCTATTAATCCTCTTTCCATTGCCATATCATTTATCAAATTTCCTTCAATAGAACTGGAGCAATTGCAATTTAAGTACAAGCACCCAAAAAAGTGAATGAACAAGGCTGGCTTCTTGTTAATCCTCTCTGTATGCAGCATCCTATGGCGATTTTCTGTTGCATGCTTACAACTGCCGTTTCTTTCAAATTTCATCTTATAAAAGTGCATTTCAAAAAGTTCATTCCAGTCATTTTCATGGTTGCTATTCAAATGATTATTGATTCAAAACCGGTTTTGTGAGCATGCCGCCATTGTCTTGCTGGTCACTTATCAGTTGCTCTCATACTGAGTTGCAGCAGTCAGACATGTTCTTCTTCAGTGTAATGTTGTGTTTTTTCTTCGTTTGAACTTGAATTATTCCCTTTGATCTTCAAGTTTAAATTTTATTCTATAAAATTTGATTTTAGATTTTTGCACCCTTCAAAATGGTCTTGAGCAAGAGTGACAAATGTTTGATAACTGCACTGTGCCAGGAAAAGAATTACTCAGTGAATCAAATCCTTATGGAGTTTCCAGATCACCAATGGAAGAAAACAGTTGCAGATATTTTAAAGAAACTTCAAGATTATGGAAGTGGAAAATGTCATCTGGGCAGTGGGTGTCCAAAAACTGCTTGTACACAAAAAACTGTTGAGACTGTCGGTTCACTGATTTGCATCCAAGAAGGCAAACCAGGCACCAGTTTATGTGTGTGGTGTATTTCAAAAGAACAGGCATTCTGCTGTCTTCAGTTCAGCGTATAGCAAAGAAGGACTTGAAACTGAAAAATTTTCAAGTGAGTGACTGTACCAAAGTTGACACCTGAAACTAGGCAGAAGTGTCTTGACCGAAGCAAAAAGCTCCTGCTCCATTTTCAAACCAATTCTGCTGTCAGACAAATTTGGTTTTTGGATCAAAAAAAGTTTACCTTGGAGAGCCCACACAACACTCAAAATGTGTACCAAAAAAAAGACGTAGAACCTTCGTGACTCTTAAGGGAAATGTCACACTTTTCTGATTTGGTTATAGTGTCAGTGGCAGTGTCTGCCGAAGGAAAAACTGGAATCCTTTTCATCGAATGTGGGGTGAAAATTAACTTTTAAAGCTACTGTGATGAGGTTTTGGCCAAAATGCATCCAGAGATTTAGGACAAAATGTTGGATTGTAACTTCATGCATGATGGTACGCCAGCTCATCAGGCTCAGAAGACACTTGCATAATTGAGGTCCAACTGTGCAGACTTCATTGAGCCCAACCTTTGGCCCCCAAACAGCCCATACCTGAACCCGGTGGACTTCTTTGTCTGGAGCGCCTTGGAGGAAAATGTCTACCACAGACAGCAAATCTGCACCATCACTCAATTAAAAGAACGGATTGTGAAATGCTGGGAAGAACTGCCTCAAGATTCAATTTGGGCAGCAATAAAGAAGTGGAGATCAAGGCTCAAAGTGGTTGTGTCTCATGAAGGCGGTCATATGGAGCCCTATGTCAGTCGTTAATGTGTACAACACCTTTGTGAAATGTAAGAAAAGCTAAAGTTCATGCTCTATTTTGGGTGTTTGTACTTAAAATGCAATTGCTCTGGTTCTTTTGAAGGAAATTTATAATTGATATGGCGATGGAAAGAGGATTAATAAACCTTTCATTTTCTGTTTCAAACACGAAAAATGATTCATTTGTTCAAAAGTTATTATCGATCAAAATTGGTGTGGTTTTTTTTTTGGGCCACCCTGTATATTGAAAGAGAACCTTTCGTGTCTCATCTTGTGGATGCATGGTTATAAGCAGGGAGTGTGAGAGTGGCTAGCAAGAGTTCACAGTGGGAACTAGCTGAGGCATTCCATAAAGCTGTAGAGCTCCTGGATGCAGACACAAGGGATCAAAATGAAGAGAAGGAAGAAAATCTCATTTATCTGGGATTGAGAGCCCCATCTTCTTCAGAGGAAACTGCTAGAATATTGACCGTGATTGCTGAGAGAGCTTCAAAAATTTCATCTCTGTTCATTGTTCACACCATCTCCATTTTCTCAGGTATGGAGTCTTGTACTCATTCAGTGAAACTCAATGGATCCCTATTGTTTTTATTTCAATTGTTCTACACTGTAGAGAACAGGAACCTGTATGGTTGCAAAGACATTTCAGAAATTGGAGGTAGATCACACTCTTTGGCCTTCTTATTTGTTCATTGGAAGGCAATGGCACTAAAATTTGAGTTGCATAGACCAATCTATAAATAAAATTGGGAGCTCCTTTCTTCACCTAATGCTTGGCTTTAGCATTACCTATGCATTCTTCTTTGGGTGCACCTGATAATGACAGTTAGCTTATCTCCAACCTCTTCATACCAGGAATATTCCTGGTGTGAAGAAGTTGAAGGTATATGAAAGTATATAGTCAAAGGTTGATAGTTCCTTCAAATTTTTAATTTCTTCTCCCTGTAGTTGCTACACTCTGGTTATGATGAATGAGCATGGTTGAGTTGGCCATTTTGATAAACAGGTGGCCTCATGTCCAGTGGTATGCTGCAATTGGACAATCCCACCTTCCCATGTCATCATCACCTGTGCAATCCATGACCTTGGCTGGAATTCAACCTCACTCACTTCATTGTTCAGACATTAGCCCATCTATAAGCTATTCCCTGAAATAACAAAAATGTATTGTATAGAAAGAGTTGGGAGTAAAGGACTGACATTGGATCATCCATAAGCCATTGGGTGAAAGCAATTCCTTGGGAATGATTTCCTGCTGTAATTAAAAATCAGTCAAACAATGGAAGAAGTATGCATTGGCTAAGGATGATTGTTAAAAAGGTGGAAGATGAGCAGGGTAAAGCTCCAAAGTCCAGAAGTATGTGTAATATTTTTGAAAGTCCAAGCCTTTCCCTCATACTCTCAGGAATCTAGGATTTCAGACTGTCATGGGAGCACTCCATTGCTGCCAATCACATTCTCATCTGACCTGTCTGATAGTTGGCCCTCAAAGGCATTTCTTAAGACCATTGCTCTTGGTTAGGCTAAGGAAAGATGTGAGGAGTACACTAGAGGTGCAGGCATGATTGAAGCCTTTTTCACTCACTTTTGTTAACATTGAGGGGATCTCTATCTTCTGATCCCATATAATTTTTCTTCATCCTTCTTTGTAGCAAAAATAGTATAAATAAGATCCTTTTTTCAGTATTTCAGGTAGTAAACTGAGTCAGGAGGCTTGACAAAGCCAAATTTGTGAGGCAGGCATAACATCCCTTCCATGCATTCTTCAGATCCACTCTTGTAAAGCAAAAGTAAGCGCAAAAGTAGAGTAAAGATACTCTCAGTTGAGGTCATAAGCCAGTGAATTCTGCTATTTTCTTGATCTTGATAGAGTGCTTCTGCCAAACTCCCATGTGTGGCATGCACACCTCCAGATTACATCCTATTATGCTTCCAGTGGTCTCACCTCCAAACTCTTCACTTGGCTAGCATTTCTCTGCTATGACTGATTTGCTGTGTATGTAGCATGTTCCTTCATTAGGTACTTTTAGTGAAACTCATCTCCACATATCCCTTTGCTACCCCCATTCATTGTTTCAGATAAGATTGGTTATATTGTGAATTATTGAAGATTCCATATTTTTAATTTCTGAATCTCTAGATGAAAGCAGACAAAGGAGAAAGATGTCAACAGACTTTTTAGAGGATGTGGCCCGACAAGAATATTCAAAGTACAATGTGATGTATGAGAGACAGCAGGCAATCTATCCTGGTCTCTCACTCACCTTGAATACTTCCTCTCCATCTCTCATTCTTCCATTTGAAGCTCTGTTTGGGCCATTTTCTGCTTCTCATGGAATTCACTTTTCTTTGCCTCATCATGACTCTATCAGTGGACGTGAGTTCAGTCAGTTCAATCTGATCAGGAATCTGGATATCATTTTGTTTTTTTTTGCCTGGTACTAACTCCAAAGTGTGGTGGCATTGATTCCTTGAAGGTCCAGTTATCAGTGTGAGCCAGGCTTGTTTCCATGTGCGGAAAACAATTGGGATTGTGGGTCTGGATGTAGACATTGAAGACTTGGCCCAGGATCTCATGTATCCTAATTCTTCAAAGACTGATATCTATGGATTCCTTGTACATGAGTCTGGGCATGTGCTTGTTCACCCTCTATTACCAAGACCATCTCGAATGTTTCAACACCCGATTCAAATTGACATCCACTCTCTTGAATCTCCTCTCAAGTCTTCAGCTGCTGCAAGTAAAGGCCTTCTACAGAATTTCACAGGCAACTTCTCTCTATCACATGTGAGTTCTGACTATCTTCTTTCTATCAAGAATGGACTGTTTACATATGAAAAGTGCAAATGAAAACCTCCAATGTGGGGGTCTCTGAAAGTTTCTGTATACTTATAATATAGATTTTGTCCAACCAATTTAAACCTTCTTGAGGTATTCTCCTTGGGCATTCATGTACTTTTCAGAAATCATCTCTTAGAGCTCCAGATGATGCAGTGATTAAGATGTTCAAAAATTACTCATGAAAAGTCTACAAATACATATTTGGGGTTAAAAATTCCTTTCACACAGAAAATCTTTTGCTCTTGAGAAGAGAAAAAAAGTAAAAGCTTTGTCTTTTGACTGTAGACTGTGCAGGATATGGGTACTCATACTTTTCATCCAAGAGAAGGTCATGCCAGTAGTCATCCCTCATATACATGGTGATTAAAAAGTCAATTGAATTTTTTTCTGTGCTGCATATGGTATCATTTGATTCATCAACTTCTCTTGAGCAGTTTGGTGTAACATGAGTGTGGGACAAAAGATACTTTAGAAGAAATGACAGGGAAAGAGATGTAACTAGTGTAACTTTTTTTGGCTATTACAATGGATTCAGAACGATGGAAAGAGAGCAATAGAGAGGTAACACACATTTGATGTGATCACCATTGGCTTCAACAAGGGAAGCTATTTGCAAGGGAAAATTTGGCACAGTACTGCAAATCTGGTCATGAAGAATGTCTACAACTTCTTTTAGGTTGGCATTCTTCAAAAATACAAGTTTGGTCAGATTTTGACAGTAAACACATGATTTAAAAAAAAACCCACAATCAGTAGTCTGCAGGATTGAGATCTGGAGATCATGGAGGTAATGCAGTTGGGAAATGTTGGCTGAGGATGCAATCCCGGAAGTGCTTGCAAAGGATGGCTTTTGCCTCACAATGGATATGGGGAGGAGCACCATCTTGTTGAAAGATTATCCAATCCATGCACTTCCTGCTTTGAAGTCCAGGAATCGTGAAAGTTTCCAACATGCATGCATAGCATAAGCTATTTGCAGTCACATTGTGAAATCCATCTGAATCAAGTTCATCAAAAAAGTAGGAACCAATGACCATGTTTGTTGTGAAGCCTTCAGACAGTCACTTTTGAGTAATGCAAAGGTGTATCACAACATGAAGATTTTTGTCAGTCCAAAATACAGTTGTGTGCATAATTCTGTAAATTTAGGCAGCATTCAAACTCTCAGACCCCAGAAAACGAATCTAGTATTGGTGTTCAATTTTGGTGCATGTCTCTGGTGGTGCTACCATTTTTTAATATGTTTTGTGCCTACCCTCTTATGGGAATTGATCAGATTAGTGCATTAGTGCATTTATCATCAATGACAAATGGTAACACATACCCACAAAAACATTTTCTTGTGTATGGTAAGACATGAGAAAAAAAATTGGCTGTTACTATTTGATCCACCTTCATAATACCAAGATAGGAGGATAGTCTGTCCAGTCTAACCTTGCTACACTTTTAATTTGATAATATAAAAAATGTAGAAGGGGTCATTATGATTAGCACAAGAACAGTACAGCATAATGAAAAGACCAGAGTATCATAGTGCCCTGCAGCCCCACTAAAAATGGCAGATATGATTTCCAGGGAAGATATATATCCAATGTCTGATGCTGAAAGGAAAGAATTGATGAAGAGTTATAAGAGGTTAATGGGTTATTAGAAGGGGTTGAAAAATGCTCTACCCCCAAACCCATTGCTACTCATGAATTTTCTCAGGTCTGTTTCTTTATGAAGCCAAAACTGAATGAATGCTCTCTGCTTCATTAGGCAAATCTCAAAGTTTGCCATTTCTGGACTCTATTCAATTTATTTAATTTTTCATGTTCCATCAAAATACCAGGTAGAAGCTAGTGTTATGAACCTTGCCAGGATTATCAGACAATAATCCCATTTCAATATAAATATAACTGCATTGCCATGTTCCCTACCAGTGACAATACTTTTTGACTGTCCCTCATATGTCATTCTTCCAAGTTATTCAAGGGAAGTTTCTTTCTATTCCAAAAGTCTGGCAAGAAGAAGGAATATGTGTGGATTCGACTGAAGGGCTCTCCATACATCCTTTGTTATGTCAAGAGTGGGAAGTCAAGCAGTGAGAACAGCGGAAAGAAGTCTTCAGTGTCAAGGAACATGACTTTGGGCACAAAGGGATCAGACAAGCTTCTCTTTCATCGCCTTGATCTTTTACCTGATTCCCATTCTCATACTCTTTGTTGGCATTTCAAACGCTGGGTTACATCTGGTTTGTGTCCTATCTTCCTTTCTTTGGAATTCAGAGCATATGTCTTCTTCCCCATAATCCATGTGGAAAATTTCCTTTATAGAGGCATGCACATTGTACCTGTCACCGAAAGCGTACTTGGAGCCATATGATCACTTGGTGGCAGAGGAGACATTACGCTCCATACAGAGTTTTATGGCTTATGTGAATGATGACACAAAGCTGATAGCAAATCCTGGACTACGAGCTGGAATTCGAGAGCATGTTCGAGCATTGCTTCCTGTCATGGAGTATTGGAAACACAAGGCACAGACATCTCGCCTCTCTGACTACATACTTTTCAGGTTCCTTCACCATGTCTTATATTTATATGTCAAATATAAACATCCAAGATGTGATGAAATAATGTTTAATTTCAAAAAAAGTCTGCAGAGATGGCTTAGTATCAGACATTTAATATATGCCTAATCCACAATCTCACATATCTAAAACTCTGCATCAGCATGATGATGAGGAAAGAAATCTGTAATGTATTTTAATTGGCTTATTTCTTTTGTGATATAAATTTCCCTCTCTATGAGAAAAGATGAGCAATCACTAACAACCACACCCAGAATTGAGATCCTCATGGAGGATACTGGGAATGGAGGCATTAGAAGATCACAGGGTTACACTCCCAACTAGAGAATGTTTTATTTGATGAAAATCAACTTTTCAAAGGAGCAAGTGCCCTGTTCATCAGCCCTGTAAATGAAGTGCCCTGTAAAGAGCAAAAAAAAAAATCTAATGATAATAAAGCCCCTTGCTACTCATGGGAAAATACAAGAAAGCAAAATTAAGGAGAAGGAAAGAGTGAAATACACTGGTGTATGAAGAACTCAGAACTGAGGGAAAATATTGGGTGGGGCAAAAAAAAAAGCTCACCTCTTTGACATTTCTTGGAGTTCATGAGATAGCAGTTTGCATGACAATTTCTTTGCAATAACTTTTGTGAATCCTTTAAACATCATAAAATTCTTATTCATTTTCTCCAGCTATTTTAGCACAAGTGATAATGCAAAGGCAACTCAAACTTTAGTTTTGTGCTAGGAACATATCAGTGGGAGAGTAGTTGGTGCATGTCCAGTCTCAGGCCAGAGCTCCTCCATCTGCTCATGAAATTGCTGCTCTTTGCAAAAGGATGGGGTGGGGCAAGAATTTCTTGGTAAGACTAAACCAGTCTAAAGAAACCAGTTCATTTGAGATGAAGAGTGGGAGTGGAAGACTAAAACTAGCTGAAACTGAAGAAAACTGGATTAATCTCCCAAGTATGACTTGTTTGCAAAGAAGATAGCGGAAGAGCAGCATATGCTGTCACGAGCTTGGGGGGGTTAATGTGGAAGAAGTCCTAGTTTCACTAGATGATAATCCAGGGATGCAAAATTCCCATCTGCAGACTGCCTGATGTAACAAAAGAGTCAGGAATCTGCTCCACAGATTCTGAAGTGCAGAGAAGAAAGAAACCTTTCAGAAGAATTGCCTTTCCCAGTCAGTGGGGCAGGTCCTTCCTTGAAAATGCAGTTTGAGCACAGAAATGAAACTCCAGTTGCTTTTGTAAAATATCCTGTGTGTTAAAATGGCTGGAGATAAACAGGCACAAGTTTTAGGATGGTCAAAGGATGCTTAGATGCATGTATGAAAGAAACTTCGCTGTACTAGCTGCTGTTACAGAGGTGCCACAAATGTTTAGAGAGTGGTGTGTTTTTTGCCATACAGGGTATAGAAAAAAATGACCAACCTTTTTTAACCTAAATGTCTCTGCTTACAAAATGTCTCCACCTCTGCGGACAAAATGTCACCTGGACAAAACATTGTCGGATGGGATGTCGCCGGACAAAATGTTGTGAAACATTTTTTGAACCAATGTAAACAAGACATTATCACTTGACAAAGTGTTCGGCTTGCTCAATTAAATGTGCATGATAGTGCAGACGATCATGTTGGAATCGTGCATAGAAGTCAAGAAATGGACCCAAAAGTGACCCACTAGCATTTTAAAAGAACCTTGTCAACGTACATACAGCAAACATGATAACCATCTGTAGACAATAGGTAATTGAAACCATTTCAGGATGCCTTTATGTTCCAACGCCTCTTACTTTCAGCGAGTTATTTGCGAGAGGAATTTGAATTTTTTAAAATGAAGGGTTGATGTACATCTTGACATTTCTTGGTGAGGGGGAGGGAAGCAACCCAAGGAAAAAGATTAATTTTCCTCTTTATCTGCCCCCCTTACAAGTCCTCCTCACCCCTAATCCTCCTATTTTAAAAATGTCTGATGAATGAGACTCCTACTCCCCCACTGAGATGCCCCTAAGCTATAAAGGTAATTTGTTCCACCTGATCAGGTAGCTGCAGCCTACGAAAAATTAAGAAGAATAGGCAGCGATGATTTTCACGATTTTGATCCTCTTTTGGATTATTTCAAAGGTAATTATATCGGAAGAGCTCGGAGAGGATGAAGAGCCGCACCTGATTTCCCATTCCATTATTGAACCAATACCACCATGTTCTCAATGACCTAACAAGAAGCAATAGCACATTGGAGGGTGGCACCAAGCATTCAATCACTCTGTTGGGATCGCACATTCTTCAACTGTGCGCCTTGCTCAGAAGCTGCAGAAAGAGCAACATTTGCATGCAGTAAAAAATTGGCAATATGAGATGGGATTACCACCTCCAAAGAGAAGGAAGAAGTATCAACGAATAAATGAGGCTCTCAGCATAATGGTAGCTGACTAATCGGGATGTTGTAAAATTTTGTTTGACATTGGATACGTTGTCAACATTAATGTCCTGTGATTGAACTTCATCTGTCATCTGATTTCCCCCTTTTGGACTTATTTGTGAATATCTACATGTGATCTCTTAATTTGAAAGAATATTATTAGCGTGTACTTGGTACTCAGCTTTTTCCTGAAGGAAACTTTCTCCCTATGCCTGTCCTAGTTCAACCTCCAGCCATATGGGTATAAAACACCAGAACCACCGTTTTCTCAGCGGCAACATTTTTTCCTGGAGACATTTTGTCTGTTCACGATGCATATGCATAATCCTACTGATTCTCAGCATTTCATTCAAATGTTTTTGGCCAAAGCAATATTAGCAACAATTATTGAATAAAATTATTGAATTTAGATATAAAGACTGGACAGGAGCTCCTGCAGGTAAGTGGAGTGGAGGAAACACTTGAACACTGTCCTTTCTGGTCATCAACATCAGCATCAAATGCTTTCAACTGTGGTGTTTATGACACTGAAGCTATGGCACTGATTTATATACTATATATGAGGTGTGGCAATAAAGTTCCAGTACTGATTTTTTGTGAGTCTGTCAATATCGCAAAAATCATTTCCATTCCATGGACTAATAGATTAAACTGTTGGGCAGTGTATTGTCAGTCCTCATCTGACTAGCATCTTGAATGAGAGTTTGGCTGGCAATGTAGTAACTCAGTGTGTAAGGCATCTGTCAACACAGCTGCAGCAATCCATTAAATGTTGCAAGAAGTGTCTTGACAAATTGTCTTGTCATACTTCAAGAATCTTGAATGGTTTTCAAGGTTTTCAGCCAGTAAAAAATAATGATTGGTTCAGCCATCCCTTGGGTGAATGGTTGGTGATGGTTAGGGTTGAGGTGGATCTAAGTGTCTTCACTACTTGCTAAAGGCCTTGAAGATCATTCAAAATTATTGGAGCATCACAAGGAACTTATCAAAACACTTCTGCAACATTTGATGATTAATGCAGTTGTATTGACCGGTTTGAGACAAAATGTGATGCAGCATTGCTTCACTCTGGGAATACGACAGACACCTTACACATTGAGTTACTACATTGCCAGCCAAACTCTCATTCAAGATGCTAGTCAGATGAGGACTGACACTACAACAGTTTAATCTATTAGTCCACGGAATGGAAATAATTTTTGCAATATTGACAGACTCACAAAAAAATCAGTCCTGGAACTTTATTGCCACACCTCGTATACTATGCAAACATTAGTTTCATCTTTCTGTTGGATTTTTGGATGAAATATGCTTTTTCATTTTGTGATAAGGAGAATAATTTCACTGAGTCCATTGGTGGTCCTGTTCTATGACAAGTCAACTCATTACTTCCACATGTCCAGCAAGATTTTAGACTGATAACACACAATACCACTGATACCAAGTATGTGTTATCACTTTTTGCTGGGAAATTAGTACCCATATATCATACAAATTTGGTGTGCAGGCTTATATGGGGAGGTACGTGGTGGCATTTTTTTTAGGCAAGAATGGAAATGGAAGCAAACTTTTTATAACACAGGATAAAACTAAGTTCAGTCAATACCTAAGTTTGGACACATTCAGGGTAGCACACAAAAACTTAGACCATTTCAAATCCTTATAAAATTATTTTTCTTCAGATTCTTCTGAGACAAAGTCTATTAAAAAGCACAATTCAAAAAGTTTGATTAACAATGTCTTTTTCTTTTCAGATTTTTTAAATGGTGCAAATAACTGAAGAAAAAAAGAATTCTCATAGTTGAAGAATATTAGTAGACTAATTCCTCCATTCTTGCTGTTGCAAGAACTTCAGGCAAAAACTCCCTGGAAGAAATCTACCAACTAAGCAGTGTACAACTTTGCTGAAAAGTTTCATTATGAAGCAGATGTTAACGATTTAAATGAAGGCAATTCTGGCCTGTGAGAAACTGTGCATACTGTGCCAAATATTTACAGTATCAAAATCAAATTCAAGGAAGCTGAAAGAATGCTTGGTGCAGTACACACAGACACTTGCTGACCATGAATGCCTTTTTTTGAACATTTTAAGACTTGCTTCATTATGAAACTTGGCTGTATTGTGCACTGGCTAGTTGGTGGATTTCTTTCTGAGAATTAGTAGAGAATTTGTCTACTGATATTCTTCAAATATGTGTTTTCTTTTTTATTCAGTTATTTGCACCTCTTCAACAAATCTGAAAACAGAAAGACAGTGTTAATAAAACTTTTTGAATTTCACTTTTTAATAGACTTTGTCTTATAAGAATCAGAAGAAAAATTATTTTATAAGGATTTGAAATGGTCTAAGTTTTTGTGCACCACCCTGTACATTGTTAAAAAACCAAGCATTGGTGAACACTCTTGCAGAAACAGTTCCTCACAACTTGGAAGAACTGCTTCTGTGATTGACCTTGCAAATGCTTTCTTTTATAACAATTTATTTTATAGTGTCTGAACTTGGGTGCTGTCCAAACATAGATGGTTTTACCCTAGGAGTTTTCCAACCCATTGAGCTACACCCACTAAATGGTACTTCACTGAGATGGATAGTGGCCAGAGGCCTCTGTCAATCCTCCCCTTTATGAGACACCTGCCAGCATCTTTAAAAACAAGTTCACCTCTACTCATGATGGCTCTGAGTGGTTAATAAGTGACTGAGGTCACTTGACTCAAATTTTTATGGCACTTGATTCACAGTTACCTGTTGTGAACCTATTGTGAAAATAGCAGTTCTGGTGAGTCTTCTTGCAAGACCAGAAGAAAAACCATCACATTGGCAAAATCTTTGGCAGAAAAGAACAATTTAATAATTATATTGGATGAATTTCCTTATTGAATTGGTTTTCTAATTGGTTTCAGATATGTGGCAACAGAGAGAGGAGTGATGCTGACATACCCTGGCACAGTGATGGACAGTGATTATGACCCAAATAGAAGTGGATGGTGGGGACATGCATGGGACAAACCTGGGAAAGTGGTAGTGTCCCCTCCTCATTTGGACCCAGGTGGAGCAGGCTATGTCCTAACTGTCAGCCATACACTTTATCAAGGAAAGAGTGATGGTCTTCATCATCAGGATGATCCTGTTGTTGCTGTCCTTGCTCTTGACATAACTCTTGGATATCTCTACAGGTTCCATCCTGTCGTCCAACTTCTTTATCTAACTCTTTGTCTCCATTTCTATTAACATTTTTTTGTCTTGATAGACTTATTGTTGATGCAATTGGAGCCTGCAGAGAACCAGGAATTCATTGTTTCCTCATGGATGATGATGGATATATACTGGCTCATCCACATTTCCTCACACCTGGAGTAGCAGTGGTAGGGCGACACCTGACACACATGGAGAGTCTAATTGCCAGTGATCTCCTCAACCACAATGGATTTATCAACAAGACAGTCTGCACATCTCATGTCTCCCAAACTCTTAGACGGTGGGTCTCATGCCCTTCTCCTATAGCTAATGCCACTGTGGCTGTTCATGGGATAGGGAAGTAGACTTCAATATGATTTAATATTTTTATGAAAAGCTGATGATTTCTCAGTCTTAGTTGAGGAGTTCTGAAGAAAAGGGGCTTCTTTGCAGAAGATAAAATTCAAGGGAAGCAGCAAATCTCCAAAGAGTACATCTGCAACTATCTAAATCCAGTTTTCCATTGGTAGTATCTTAGATTTCTCATTTAAACTTTAGGCTTAAACTAAATTATGTCTTCCTTGTCGTCCTAACACTGATAGAGATTGTTGATGCTTGTGTGCCCCTTTCCTATATTTCTACAATCAGAACTTTAGTTTTCAGAGGCCTCTTCTGCAAAGAAAAATGAAAGAATGAAAGATTATTCAGAGAAGCTTTTATCCCACAGTCTTCATGTTCCACGCTTAAGCATCACTACTGCACTTTTTATTCACTTCTGTGGTTATTCCATAAGTTTTGATTCCTTATCCTTCCTCATTCTGGTAGTTTTCACTCTTATTTTCATTGCAAAAATGAAGAGTAACTTCTCAGAAATTATTCTCATGTGTCTGTATTAATTGAATCTCTCTGCAGATGGCCACATTTTAAGATGGCAAATTCTTGGTCTGCCATCTGACAAGAGCATGAGTTGCTTCTTCTTTGCTTCTTACATATTTCAGCTACCTTTAGATCAGCCAATCCTATTACAGGTGGCCTGAAACAGTGCATGAAAATGGGTATGGAAAAGGACAGAAGGGTACTTATGCCCATCTTCAAGAAAACTCAATTATAACCTGTTTTCCTGTCACATCCACTTCTTCCATTATCTCAGATTTCCTGAAGTTTCTATTTCTCGTCATTCTCTGTCTGTCTCATAGATCATACAAGCTGAATACAACTGAACACCACATATGGAGGAACTTGGTGCATGGAGAGCATGGAAGCCGCTATCAAGTGATCCTTATACCTGGAACAAACATGTTCCTTTCTGTTGTCAATCATAGCTTTTCATCACAGACAACAGCTTTTTGCCCTTGCAGCAAGGTACAGCAGCTCTTTTCAGGATTAATCACAGGCTACTAGATAGACTCATCACAGTTTTGAATGTCAATGTTCGGATCCCTTGAAGCATTTCCAAACATAAAGTTATTTCAAGAAGTGAATGGGTACATCAGTATCTAATGTGACCATACATATGATAGGCAGGGTTCAGAAAAAATTATGCTGCCCACAATTCTGGGGAAATTTGCCAATGGGCTGGTATCCCCAGGTTTGAAAGAAGAGAGGGTGTAGTTGGTGCTTTTACAAGAATCCACAGGTATATCATAAATTAGCACCCACAGAAAGTCTGATAAGCCATACAGATATGCTGGGTGTTTCAAAAGTCATGAGACCCTTGTGAAGATTTATGTATCCCTTAACTTGTTCTTGTGCAAATTATGTTTGAGGCATGGGGAAAATATTCCATGTAATTTTGTAGATTTAACAAGGCTTGGGAAATATCTACATGCCTTTTAAAAATCATTTTGAAATTAAATGTTTTTGCCCAATTGAATGCATCTTTGCTTGGAGTATGACCTTCATAGAGTATCAGATGCTTCTCTCTTATTTCCTGATCATCCCAACTACCCAATTTTTTCCTGAACATGCCCATTTTTACTCTTAAATCCTTAAGTCAGGCTTGCAAACAAACTTTCTGGACCTCTGCCCATCAGAAAAGCTTTATGGCAATGTTAACTCACAGCTTTGGCCTTTAGATTCTATAAAGATTTTCTAAACTGCTACCCTGAGGTGAATCAACAGAAACTGGAGAACACTAAATGAGTCTAAATAATTAATATCAACAATCAGTACAAGTTCCTTATTCCCAAGCATATATATATATATATATATATATATATATATATATGAGAAAATCATGCTGATCAAGCCAAACCTACAGCCAGCATGAGTCCGAACTATTGAGAGAAAATAGAAGAGAATACTAAAAAAGAGAATACTAAAAAAGCGAAGGATAGCTAAGGAAGCCTAATGGACTAGCAAGTTGTAGGAGTCTCGTCAGGGGCACGATCCTACCAAACAACTTGCAGTGTGGTAAAACCCTTTTCGACATCTCCACACCAGGGAATGATCATTAAGGAAGAGGACAATGGCTGCCGCAACAGAAGTACAAAAAGCTTCCACAGCTTAAGTCCGTCCTACATGCACCGCTCCTGCACAGTCCATTAGCTGGACGAGGTTCACACCTTTGGTTCCTAGAGAAGCCTAGTGCAGAGCGTTCTGTACATGTAGACATGACGATGCTCAAGTCACTATCTGTAGGACCACTGTCTGGCAGTAAGAGGTTTCCCCTGGTGTGGAGATTCGTGCCCGAAGGGTTCTACCACTTCCCTAGGCTTTTAATCAAAGAGAGATTGGCAAAGAGAGAAAGCCAATGCACTGGGATCATTAACTGGGATAAGTAATAAATTAGCTGCAATCCGAGCCTGAGTATGTGTCAGAGAGAGCCAACTCTGAACCGGAAATATAACTGTTCCCTATGGAAAAAGATCTAGAAACATGACAGGAAGAAAGAGGAGAAAAGGCAGAAGAGGAAAGCTATTGCAGAGAGGAGGAACTTGGCTCCTGACCTAGAGCCTGTATTCTTGCTTAGGCCTATGGTCCATAGGCTATAATCCGGCCTAGGTCTAAGTCCTGGGCCAGTTAGCCCTGGCCTATGGCTTGGGCTCGCCGACTTTCTGGTTGAGTCGATTATCGCCTCCAGAGGTTGTCGTCTCTTATCCTTTCTAACCTAAGATGGACAGCCCTTCCTGTAGATCATTTTCAGTTCAGCTTGAGTACTTCCTTAACCTTTTCTTTCTAATCTCCTACTGTCAGGTGGATCATAAGGGACTTGACTAAGCACCGTTTAAGGATTCAATTGTCACTGGGCTAGCCACCCATTGATAATTATCTACTTGGCTACAAAGAATTGCGGTTCGAAAAGATGCTGTACCTGCAAGTATGTGTCAGACACAACCAATGTTAAATCTACTCTTCCATTCTGTAAATTGAGGAACTTAATCTATAAAATTGTCTGTGGGACATGTGGAATGGGTTATGTTGGTCAGACCAGCACAGCCCTTAACCTCCGCATCAACAATCATGGGTCTCATATTAAACACAATAGAGGAAAGGATGCTGAAATTAAGCACTTCCAAAACCATCCATTTGACAACATCTCAATACATATCCTGGATCTTGTTGAAAATGACAATGAACGCCTGATAATTGAAAATAAGCAAATGATTCTGCATAAAACAACTTACCCATATGGACTGAATGATAAGCACAATGGTCACATGCTAACGAAACTTCAGTCTACAGAATGTATACACAGATTACTACCTTCTATGAAAGGATGCAGGAGTCGCAGAAGAGGTAATAGATCCTTTTTAAATCATCCCTATAAAGGTTTTGTGGATTTCAAGGCCTGGTTCAAATATTGGCAAGAAAACTTTGAGACAACGGGAAACATCGTAAACGCCATTAAAAGATATTTGAACTTCATGAGTCGCTGCAAGGTCAAACAATTGGGCAACATGCTGATGACTCAAATTCTTCCCGAATCACACTTGAAAAGTCTCGTTCTAGATTTTTGTAAGTTTAAGTTGGGAATTTCTAAAAACGATGACTTGATATTGGAAAAGAACATCTTCTTCAAAAGCTTTTTGGTCATCCCATTTCCCAGTAAACAGATGGAGAAATTGAACCTGAAAGAAACACTACAAAATCAAGAAATAAAGGATGAATTCCCACTGAAAGAAACGTATCTCTCCTTATCCTATAGGCTATCAAGACCTCTCTTTGTTCAAGTATGCAATCACAGAAAATTCGTTGAAAATTTAGACTTTTGCTCTATTACCGAACTACCCTGTGTTTGCAAGGAACCAGAATATCATGTGTTTACTGACCGAAATCATAAACACATTATTACAGGAGACTTGGATATTCTAAACAATAGAGAACTTAAAGCTATATTCATACAAGGAGCTAAATATCGTTTTAATCATAGGTTCAGCAAGGAGGAATTAATCGAGCAAATCCACATGGATATCCAATCTTACATTTCTCGAGTTTCTTTTCAAACTGGAACCTATGACGCCTTTTTCCATCCATGGAGGATAAAAGTGTTTCAAGCATTTAAAGAGAAAATTGAAAGTTTTCAGGTCAAATACCCCAAAGGCTCTTTGGATATTTCCTACAGAAAATTCAAAGATCTCCTACAGGAAATACACAAGAATTTTGTGATCGTCACTGTTGATGAGGCCAGCAACAATTTTGCCTTCATTTGCCAGCGTTTTTATGGCCTAATACTGAAAGATGAATTTTTGAACAGCACCACCTTTCAAGAACAAACCATAAGACTTGAAAAAGCAGGAAAGAACGTTTTTAGTGCCTGTTCCGAATATGGAATAAAAATGGATTCGAAGAGTACAAAAATACCTTTCCTATTTGCAAACCCCAAATTTCATAAAAATCCAATAAAATTTCGGTTCATCACCAGCTCAGTCAGCAATTGCATCAGAGATCTTTCAATTCGAGTGAATGAGGTTCTAGATCAGCTCATGAATGAGCTAGAATATTCCTCTCAAAATGTCCATGAAAATTGGATCATAAGAAATAATAAAGGAGTATTGAAAGCTGTAAAAAACATCAATATTATTAAAACAGCCAAATCCGTCAGATCATGGGATTTTACAACTCTATATACAAAAATTCCCCTAGACCTACTCCATAATTGCATCGTTGCTCTTTTCGAGAGGTTTCTGCCTGTTGGATGCAAGTTTGGCAAGAAAGGTGAAAT